GCATCTTGGAGTCTAGCTCTTCAATAAAGGTTCAGGTAGGAGAAGAAGCGGTTAACAAGCTATGTTTAACCAATATAGCAGCTCCAGGGAGACTGAAGGAGCCATAATGTAAAATGGTCCCTATGAAGCTCAAAGCTATGGAAATAGAACAAAAGTGTCAGAGAGAGGAGGTCGTTGAAGAGGAGAAGAAGCCCCAATTGCAACCAAAAAAGTGGAAGAGAGCCATGAGTAAAGAAGGTGAACTCTAGAGGAAATTACCAAATGATAAAAGAAGATTTAATATAGCCACAAACAACAAAGGAACTAAAAGATCGTTTCAGAAGGTTGCAGAGGGATACAGGTTAATTTGGAGCTTGGTAGCTAAGGCTTGGAGTGTAAGAAACTTAAAAAGTGATTTTGATAAGGTAGGGCTAGCCAACCAAAACTGGACTCATGGTGAGAAATGAAAACAGTGGTGTGGAATTGTATAGGGCTGGATGAGCCCTCTATAATAAAAATAATAATTATTCTCTTACCAATTATATACTAAATATAAAAAAAATATAACAAAAGGACCAATAATAAAAGAAAATAAACATATATCATAAATTAATGATGGTAGACGATATCTCGTCAACATTACATTATTTAATATAATTATTGTCCAAAGTCCAGTATTCATCCTCCACGAAAGTTTTTTCTTGAACACATTAGGGCATCCATATTCGCTTTAATTCATTTGATTACAAATCACTCACTTTCATCGACATCAATCCCAGCACTTTATGTGTTACTGAATGCTTGTGGGAGAATTGGACATTTATTTCCCATTTTTTATATTCCACATCGCACTGGATTGATCAATGGCCGGCCCTGGCCCCAGGCAACTTGGACAACGGCCCAGAGCCCATCTCAGCCACGGGCACCAACCCATGCACCTACTCTTCTACATTATAAAATCTGATTTTAATTATTCTTTCACATAAACTTCCAATCCAATAGTATTAACACTGTATGGAGAGAGAAAGTAAAGCAAATGACAAGTATTTATTGTCCACATCTTTTACATTCATATGTATGTCTTTTCAAATTCTTCTCATAAAGTTGTTTTTCTCTTTTTATAACTTTTCTCACACTCTCACACACACTTACACTTTCACACAAATTATAATAATGTACTAACACCTCTTTCAACTTCATCTATTTTTATTTTTATTATATTCTTTGTATGCCTACAAATTTTATTTATGTGAAAAAATAAATTATTTATTGGCAGCTTTCTATAATTATTTTTCATTTAATGCTGTTCATTAAAAATACTATAAATCTCTCTATATATTAATTCAGAACGTGTTGAGCCTAAGTGACAGGCTCGCATGCTTCGAAATCTTATGTGTCAAAATTACATGCTTTGTTATTAGGCTTGGATAAATTTTAATTTACTTTTAATCTAATAATAATTAGGTTCGTGATATAGCCCTATTATCATAGTCCGATTCAAATGATGATTACCCGACTAAAGACCGCGGACGACTTCATTAAGTCGACATCTACGATGTCGACTTGGCCCATCGGCCGTTCAAAGGCCATTGGTCTTTAGTCGACTTTAGGAAGTCGACCGAGTACAAGACGACTTCACTGAAGAAGACGAGCAGGCACTCTAGGAGCCCCAGATACATGTGTAACCTTAAATAGACTCGGCAAGGTCCCAAGTCGACTTATAAGACCTCCGACGACTCGATACACTTAGATGCAGCATATGGAGGATCCCCGAGTGAGTTCACACAGGATAAGAAGGAATCTAGATGCTGACTCAGAGAGCGGGCAGAATGCGAACCGACCAGGTCATTTTGGACACTTCGTGTAAGTCGGCTAGGGGATTTCAGGTATTTTCCAGTAACCATTTCTACTCTTATATAAAGGAGTAGAGGTAACTCCAAACCCTAACTTTCATTCTCTCCATTCATTATTCAGCTGCTGCTCCTACTGAGCAGAGCTCATCTTCTTCTCTCTCACTGACTTGAGCGTCGGAGGCTCTTCACCGGAAAACGCTTCTGGTGTTGAGTTCTTGCAGGTGTTCACGGCGACTCACGGACGACTCGGAGGCGATTCAAACAGACCAGAGCTCATTTCCACCGGTTCACTCCAGATCTGGGAGGAGACCCATCAGTTCAGATTACCATAAATAGGTTGATTTATTTATGATTATTTTAGATGTGTTAATTATATTTTAATATCATTTCTTATTATAACTATATTGAATTGTACATTTATTTTATAATTTGATAACTTTTGTATTTCTTATCGGTTTTACATATATAATATATCAAAGTAATCATTTTTTGATTAGCTTCGATTTGACATCCATATTTTTGTAGACATCCATATTGTATATATAAAAAATATATAATATTTATTTATAATAATAATAAAAATATTCATTAAAATTAATTAGAAAAATAAAATTATTTTTCAATTAATATATTTATGTTTAATGTAGATATATGCTATAAGTTAGAAAAATTATTATAATATAACACATGTATGTCGCACAAGTAACAAGTGTCATACTAAAATATATAATAATATATATTTTTTTATAAAAAAGTATTTAATTTTCAACAATTCTCATTAATTTTAAATTGTAAGAAAAAAATTTAAACAAAACACCCGTGTAATACACGGGCGTTGTACTAGTTTTTAAGATTTATGCAAGGTTTGTTTTACTAATATTTAAATAAGTTTAATATTTATTTAGAATTAATTTTATAATTTTTTTGGGTTGATTTGTTGTTTTGTATGATTCACCATTTGATTA